GTGGTCACTGATCCCTGTCATATTCTGTAAACAGGAATAGTGAGGACTCCTGGCAGCTACTGTTTTGCTCTGTGTCCTTTTTGCCTCCATTTGCTGTGGTCATTGGGAAGATGCTCTTTTCAGAAGGTCATACTACTTTGGCAGCTCATTTCCTGTTGAGTTGAGTATAGAAATCTGAGGATTGTCCTAAGATTGAAAAAAAAAAAACAAGCTATTATCCATCAGGCTTGAAGTTTATATACCAATACGTTTTCTTTTTAATATTACTTTAAAAAAAAACCATTTGCTCTTTGGTATTTTTGTAGGCAGGTAACCATGGCCAGAGACCATGGGTAGTTTAAATTTTCACATCTTAGAATTTCTATTTTCTTCTTGCCCTGCAAGTCTGAATTTAGTTAACAGCAAATAAACTACACAACAGGCCTAGTTAACATCCATACCACACATTGTTACAGTTTCTTTCATTGTGTTGAGAACTCTTTTTTCCCAGTTTTATTGAGAAATATTTGACATATGTCACTCTGTAAGTTTAAGGTATACAGCATGATGGTTTGATTTATACAGATTTTAAAATAATTATCACAATAGGCTCAGCTAATATTCATCTTCTCATATAGATGCAATAAAAAAGATAAAAATTTTCTCCTTATAAGAACTGTTAGCATTAATCTCTTACCAGTTTTCTTATACATCATACAGCAGTGTTATCTATAGTCAACATGTTGACATTACATCCCTAGTATTTATCTTAAAGCTGAAAATTTGTACCTTTTGACCACCTTTCTCTAATTCCTCCTCCCCTCAACCATTACCTGCAGTCTCTGGTAACCACAAGTCTGATCTCTTTTCCAATCTAACCTCCTGTTCCCTTCTGTCCCCTCCCCCTCCTCTCCTCTCCTCTCCCCTCCCCTCCCCTCCTCTCCTTTTTCTTCCTTCCTCCCTCCCTCCCTCTCTCTCTCCTCCCTCCCTCCCTCCCTCCCTCCCTCCTTTCTTTCTTTTTCTTTCTTTCTTTCTTTCTTTCTTTCTTTCTTTCTTTCTTTCTTTCTTTCTTTCTTTTTCTTTCTTTCTTCCTTTCTTCCTTTCTTCCTTTCTTTCTCTTTTTCTTTCTTTCTTTCTTTCTTTCTTTCTTTCTTTCTTTCTTTCCTCTCTCTCTCTCTCCCTCCCTTCCTTCCTTTCTTTCTTTTCCACATGTAAGTAAAATCATGCAGTATTTTTCTTTCCCTGTCTGACTTACTCACTTAGCATAATGCCTTCAAGATCTATCCATGTACTTGCAAATGGTATGATTTCCTCTTTTTCAGGGCTGAATAATATTCCATTATATGTATATACACAACTTCATTATCCATTCATCCATCCACAGGCACTGATCTTGTTTTCATGTTTTGGCTATTGTAAATAATGTTGTTATGAACATGGAAGTGGAGATACCTTTTCCAATCACAGTTTTATTTCCTTTGGGCATGTTCTCAGAAATGGAATTGCTGGGTCATATGGTAGTGCTATTTTTAATTTTTGAGGATCCTTTATACTGTTTTCCATAGTAACTCTACCAATTTACAATCCCATCCACAGTACACAAGGGTTCCCTTTTCTCTACATCCATGCCACCATTTATCTCTTATCTTTTTGATAATGGTCATTCTAACGGCTTTTAGGTGATATCTCATTTTGGCTTTAATTTGGGTTTCCCTAATGACTGTGGATGTTGAACATCTTTTCATGTACCTGTTGGTCTTTTATATATTACTTACCTACACACTATTCCTATCTCCACATCTATAATTGGTAAGGAAATACATACAAAGGTACATGTTCCTTTTTCTGGAACATACTTTTGTGATTTCTTAGTTTGGCCAATTTCTATGGTTTCTTTAATACTCACCTTGAGCTTTACATTTTATGAGGACTATTTCCTGTTTGACATGGTGACAGAGGTCATTTCCCTTCACACTTAAAATAATCTTGATTTTGCTGCTTATTATCATTCTAATATCTCATTTGATTCTAATATCTCTGTATCTTTCTCAAAACTTAATCCTTTTGAGAGTAGGAACATGTTCTTCATCTTAGAAGGTCACAACAGACTAGCATACTAGATGTGTAGATATGTACACAAAAAAGGTAAGAAATCAGTCAAGATGGCATATGGAATGCATCCTGAAAAGAGTCATGCGTTCTAGAGGAGATAGGAAGAGCCACTGTGGAGAAATTAGGACACTTATTCATTGTTGGCGAGAATGTAAAATTGCAGTTACTTTGAAAATAATCTGGCAGTTTCTCAGAAGTTTGAACATAATGTTACCATATAACACAGCAATTCCACTTCTAGGTATATACCTGAGAGAAATGAAGATATATGTTGACACAAAAGTGGCATATTAATGTCCACAAAAGCATTTTTCATAATAGCCCAAGTGCAAACAACTAAAATGCCCATCAATGATGAATGTATTAATAAACTTTGAAACACAACACCAAGTGAAAGAAGCTGGTTATAAAAAAAATAGATATTGTATAATCCCTTCACATGAAATGTCCAGTGTAGGCAAATCTACCTTGATATAAAGTGGATTAGCAGTTGCCTAGAAATGAAGTGGGAAATGGGAGGAAGTGTATAAGGTTTCTTTTTGAGGTGATGAAATGTTCTAAAATTGATGGTTTTGATGGATGCACAGCTCTATGACTATATTAAAGCCATTGCATTTTATAGTTGATGCTGGAGGTTGTGGCTGATCTGAGAGATACAAACTCTTTTCTTGAATATTGTTACATGTATATAGTGCATATGTGTTTGTACATGACTGTTGTTAAGTGTAACATTCAAGCTAGTCATGACCTTGAACCTATGCAATCGATATATGTAACAATATTTAAGAAAAGAATTTGTTGTATCTCTCAGGTCATCTGTAACCTCCTCAGGGTTAATAAACAATAAAAGGCACAGATTATTGTGGGGAGGTGAGAAACACTTTATGGAGGTGGCAGGATTTGAATTCACTGATAAACACATGATGTGAAAGGCAGAGGCAGTGTATTATAGTGAATAAATAAATCTGTTGGGCACATCTGGCTTTGAATCCTGCTTGCCAGTTGGTTGTTACTCTCCCTTATGTTTGTATCCTCATCTAAAAAGTTAATTAATATACTTACTTTTGAGGATTATGGTGGTGACAAATTAGATGATGGATTTGTATGCTAATGCCAGGAACATAGCAAGTGCTCAATAAATATTAGCTTCTATTTTTATCAGAAATGTTTATTAAGTATTATTAAGTATCGGTGGGACAAAGTATGCATGTAAATAAACTAGTGGAAACACCCAGAAACTCATCTGATGTTTCCAATGGAAAGAGAGAGGAGACATAGAATTATATGAGGATAATTGTACTCAGTTTAAGAAACATTTATTGTATACCTTTCTTCTAACTACTAGACTAGATTGCTGGGTATACAAAGGCAAATGAGAAGTAGATTGCCAGATGTACAAAGGAGAAGTGGTCTTTGTCTTGATGGTCTGGTAGACCGGTAAACAAATATGTGTAAGAAGCATAAGATTTCCTATAATAGAAATCTGTTTGCTGTGTACACAAAGTCAAAAGTTGGCGGAAAGGGGGTGCAGAAGAGAGGACACTTGTGCTCAACACTGAAACTGTTTGTTAACCACTGGAGCCTGCATCACTGGAGGGTTGTCAGGATTCCTCTTAGACGTTTGCTATCTGCAGTACAGAGCAGAGAGTATTACTGGTTTGAGCAAGTTTTGCTCTATACACAGACGAGAAAATAATGTTTCCCAAAATGTTAAAGAATGCCTGTTATACAATTAATGTGAATATTGTAGAGAGGTAAGTTCGTTTTCAGGTTACTCGTCTTTTTTTTCTCAAAAGACTTTAAACCGCAGAAAACACAGATCTTAAGTGGATCTTGTTCACTCTTGGATTGCCATAACTTGGCCCAGTACTGGCACATGGTATGCACTCATAAAACATTGTTCGATAGCCCTGGCTGATGTGGCTCAGTTGGCTGGAGTGTCATTCTGTACACCAGAAGGTTGGGAGTTCCATCCGTGACCAGGGCACTTACTTAGGTCATGAGTTCCATCCCTGGTCGGGGTGTGTATGGATTACCAATTGATGTTTCCCTGTCACATCGAAGTTTCTGCTTCTCACTTCTTCTCTCTCTAAAATCAATAAACATTAAAAAAGTTCAATACGTATTCTTCAGATCCCTCTCATGTCAAAATGGAACAATCTTTAACAGTGGCCCATAGTTGTCTCTACACCTATTGACAGTCTGAAATGGACAAAGAGAATCTATATATCCATGCTTTCTTGCAAGTAAAACTCTTTCGAATTTTCTCATTCTCTTTTCTTCTGGAGAAACTATTTGTCTGAAGGCTGAGAAAAAAGTGGGTAATTAGTAGCTGTAAATAAACTGTCTCTGAAACAGAGATAGCATGTACAAATTGCTGTGCTCTGGAGTTGAGGACAAGATGCAATTGTAGAGTAGAGTTCTTTGAAGTCATACAGTGTCGGTCTGGAGAGGCTCTTGGCTTACGTACATTCCAGTAGTTGAAGTGTTCACACGTGCAAAGATGAGATGGAGCAGCTGTCTGGTCAATTGTTTCTCAAGCACTTAACTGTGTGTCACGCACTTCGCACTTCGCTCAGTTCCAGTTCTTTCTGAACTCTGCCTGGAGGTGGTGAAAGGACTGGGCTCTGCTCTTCTTCTCAGGAACAGTTCTACACAGTCCACGTGAGAGTGTCACATTAGGGATGGTTTTACTTGCATGAACACGGGGCCTGCCACTGAGGCTCGTTAGAACAGGAAGTAGCCCCCGAATCATCCCCTTTCTGAAGGCATCCCTCTGGGGACCACCCCAGTCAGCGGTGCCCAGGCTGGGAGGATGGTTCCCTCGGCTCTGGCCACATCCTGGGGCCACGTGACTCTCCAGTTGAGTTGAGTGACGCGCCGCAACGAGGGGCGGGTTTTGGTGGAAATCAACTTCCGGGGGCAGAGGTGTTTGAAGCCGGGTGGTGTGTGGGCTCTCCCAACTTGTGTGGCTGGGGTCGCGCCCCTGGTGTGCTCCGCGGGTTTGTGTGCTGGGGGGTGGCTCTCCTAACTGCGTAGCTCGGCGGCGCGACTGTGGCAGCGGCGGCGGCGAGAGGGAGCAGGTAAATGGGCTCTCTCCTTCCGGGCCTGGGTCTGGGGACCCGGGCAGCTGGAGGCGGGCGGCGCGCCCACGGGCGGCCTGGGCGCGGGCCGGGAGCGCCCCACCCGGGCGGGGAACGCTGCCGAGCTTCCGCTCCCCGCCACCTCCGGGCCTGTCCCCCGAGGTCGGGGGATCTGAGTTGGGGGCGTGGCCCGCCTCGGGCTGGAGCTCTGCCTTGCGACCCCACCCCCGCCAGGAGTGCCCACCTGCACTTGCTGTCGCGGGTAGGTTTCGGCCCCTGCACGTTTCAGAATCAAATGTTTTCGACAGTCTACGCACAAGTACACGTGATTATTGTGTCATGGAAACTCCTACCGAACCGAAAGTCGTCCTTGTCGAGTTCTCACCGATCGCGCCTGGTTTATGTTTCCCCTTCTACTTTGCCAAGTCCACCGGGGTAAAGGTCTCCTGTGTCCGTCAGCAACTCGTTGCAATAAAAGTGGCATTTCAGGGTTAAGGCTGGAGGCAGTACGTTTCCAGGTGGTGAGGCATCCTTCATTCCCACAAGTGCGCCCCCTCTCCCCACAATAAAGATGTTTCTTCCATCTGCCCTTGTGTACTGCGGAGGGAAGCTTTGGACATGAAACCTGTTTTGGGCTTCTCTGTAATGAGTGGCAACTGTATTAAAAACTGAGTGTTTTTTGGTAGGATGATGTTGCTGCTGCTACTCTCTCCCACATGCTTCCCTGATGAGAGTTGGGCAGAGCCTCGATTTCCTGGAGGGTAAAGTGCTGGCTACAACTATAGGTGACTCAGGGTTCCTTAAGAATTCCTACTCTTCTCTCCAGCTCTGAACTGGGCAGATACTGATGCCACCTTCCTCTTTAAATATCAGGGAGGCAGTTGGATGATGGCTTTTGGAAACAGTTTGCATGTTCCTTGGCGGTGTGATTGGGGTGGGCTGACATTTCATCTTGTCATTGGGATGGGCTAATATTTCACCCAACTATTTAAGGCAAAATAGTCAGAATATTTAGTTTGGTGGGATGACAGGGCCTGACTATAAATTATCTGTGTTCTGTGCCATAGGAGAGCTCTACACTTCTAATCATCCCATTTGTCTTCTGCTACAATTTCTGTTGCATTGAGGGTTAGGGTTAGGCCTTTACTGTACCTGTTAGGTAAATGGAGGAGGGAAGATGCCAGGGAGAGAGTGCACCTGTATGGTGCTGGCTAGCCAATAAATTGTGTGGTTGAGAATTGCCCTGGTTACAAAGTTTGGTATCCTCTGGGCAGGCTAGGAGGTTGTTCTGTGGGCTGGGAAATCTTATTATGCACTGGTTTCTTAGCAACAGTATAAGCCAAATGGAATAAACATAAAACAAAAGTGATGAAACTTACAACTTACCTCTTAACATTTATTAAGTGGAAAAATGTATCTTCTTATTGGAGCCATCAGCTCAAAAACTTGAGGACTTTTTACTTTAATCATTTTAATACTTAATACTAGACAAAAAGAAAGTGCAGAAAAGTCATCACAGAGGGGACACCACCGTTCTGGGAGGGCAGAAAAAGAAAGAAGAGGTGCTTACCAGTTTAGCTGGTCTGAAACTTAAATGGGCAAATAGGAATTTGCCTAATAAGAGGCATTTTATCTTGTACTTCTAGCGGTAGATGGAAGATTTGTAAAATATATAAGATTGTTATGGATAAAGATGGCTACTTGAACTTTTATCATCTTTCTCCTGATAGCAGAAGTTGGGGTGGGAGTGCATTGGGGTGGATGAAGCCTCTTCTGTTAGTAAAGTGGAAGGGGAGTGTTTAGTAAGTTGTTTCCAAGTTTTAGTACATAGTCGCAGTCCTCCTGTATCACCTGTTGCTTGAAACTTTTGGCCTTTCTTGAAAGCTCATCAGATTTTGTTATTTTTATGCCCAAATAATGAGGACTTTTAAGGCACCTATTTTTAGATAAGCTCTTCATGTCAATATCTGTTTTTTTCTTATTTACTATGGTAAGTCAGTTTTTTTGATTTGAAATATTTCTAAGGATTTTTTGTTTCCTGGTAAGTACTGTCTCTCCCCAACTCCATACCCAGTAAGCTGATGTAGCTCATTTAATTTGACGCTTGTTTTTTGTAAGGGTAACCCTGTGTCTTTTAAAATTTAGGTTTACTGAGGTATAATATACAAGCTAAAATCATTTTTAGTATCTTGTTCTATGAACTCTGACAAATGCATATAGTCATGTAAATCTTTGGTGAAGTGTCTCTTCAAATCTTGAGTATTTTTATTTTTTTGCTTCTGCAATATCTCAATATAAGCTGGAATAATCCAGTTTATATTGAGATATTGACATATAAATTTAAAGTATACAGTGTGATGATTGATTCACATATGTATTACAAAATGATTACCATCATAAGGTTAATTACACCTCTGTCCCCTCACATAATACCTAATTACCTATGTTTTTATGTTGTGATGATATTTAAGATCTACTCTCTTAAAAATTCTTTCAAGTGTTGTATATAGTACAGAATTGTTAGTTATAGTCACCATGTAGTAGTATTTAGATTCCCAGAACTTACTCATCTTGTAGCTGGAAGTTTTTACCCTTTTTTGTTATTCCAGCTCCTTGGCAGACACCATTCCACTCCCTATTTCTGTGTTTAGATTTTTTTAGATTCCACCTTTAAGTGCTATCACACAGCATTTCTCTTTCTCCTTCTGACTTATTTCACTTAGCATAATGCCCTCAAGGTCCATTCATGCTGTTGCAAAAGGCAGGATTTCCTTCTTTTTTTATGGCTAAATAATATTTCTCTCTCTCTCTGTTTGACTCTCTGTCTCTCTGTGTCTGTCTCACTGTTTACCTAGCCCTCAATCATATATTTTTTATCCAGCCATCCATTTGATGGACACTTAGGTTATTTCTCTCTTACTTTTTTGAGTAATGTTGCTATGATTTTGGGATGCAGATATCTCCTTGAGACAGTGATTTCATTTGCTTTGGATATATACCAAAAAGTGGAATTCTTAGACCATGTTGTAGTTAATTTCTCTCTATGTCTGCTAATATTTGCTTTATTTATTTATATATTTAGATGCTCCTATGTTGGATGCATACATATTTACAAATATTATGTCTTCTTATAGGATTCACCACTTTATTGCTATTTAAGGCCCTTCTTTGTCTTTTGTTAACAGTATTTTTAAAAAGTTTGTTTTGTCTGATACAAGTATTTCTACCCCAGCTTTCTTATTGTTTTCATTTGCATGGAATATATTTTTCCATCCTTTCACTTCAGACTGTGTGTGTCTTAGATCTTAAGTGAATCTCTTATAGACAGCATATAGATGGATTTTATTTATTTATTTACTCATTCAGCTACACTGTGTCTTTTGTTTGGAGAATTTAGTCCATTTACATTGAAAGTAGTTATTGAAGGTATGTCTTTACTGCCATTTTGTTAATTGTTTTCTAGTTGCTTTTGTAGTTCTGTATTTCTTCTTCTCTTACTCTCTTCTTTTGTGGTCTGATAACTATCTTTGTTATCTTTGTTATCTTTGTTATCTTAACTATCTTTGTATTATATTTAGGTCCCTTTCTTATTATTTGTGTGTAGCTATAAAAGGCTTTTGGTTTGTGGTTTCCACAAGGTTCATATGTGATCACACACACACATCAGTCTGTTAAATTTGACAGTACCTGAGTTGGAACACATTCTAAAAGCACCACATTTTCACACCCTTCTTCCACACATTGTATGTTTTTGATGTCACATTTGACATCTTTTTATTTTATGTATCCTTTAACTAATACAGTTGATTTTACTACTTGTATCCTTTAACCTTCATACTAGCTTTATTAGTGATTTCTGTAGAACCTTTACTGTATGTTTGCCTTTACTGGTGACATTTTTTTGCTTTGACATGTTTCTTATTTCTAGTTATGACATTTTATTTTCAGCTTAGAGAATGCCCTTGAATATGTCCCATAAGGCCAGTTTAGTCGTGATGAACTTTAACTTTTGCTTTTCTGGGAAACTATCCTTCCATTTTGAATGATAACCTTTCTGGATAGGGTATTCTAGGTTAGAAGTTTTTTCCATTCAGCACTTTGAATATATCATACCATTTCCTTTTGGCTTGCAAAGTTTCTGCTGTTAATAATCTTATGGGGGTTTCTTTGTACTAAACTAGTTGGTTTTCCCTTGCTGCTTTTAAGATCTCTTTTTACCTTTAGCTTTTGACATTTTAATTGTGATGCATTTGGATATGGATCTCTTTGGGCTCATCTTGTTTGGGACTCTCTGTGCTTCCTGGACCTGGATGTTTGTTTTCTTTCCCAGATCAGGGAGATTTTTGTTAGTATTTATTTCTTCCAATAAGTTTACTGCGCCTTTTTCTTTCTCTCTCTCCTTCTGGGATGCCTATAATGTGAATGTTAGGAGGCTTGATATCTTATAGGTCCCTTAAACTAGCTTCATTTTTAAACATTTTTTCTTTCTATTTTTCTTTTTTTTCAATTGCTTTTGGAGAGAAAGGAAGGGAGGCGGGGAGAGAGAGAAACATCAATGTGAGAGATAAACATTGGCTGCCCTCTTGGGATATGTGCCCTGAACTAGGCTCAAACACGCAACCTGGATATGTGCCTAGACCGGGAATCAAACCCACGAGCTTTTGATCAATGGGACGAAGCTAAAACCAACAGAGCCACACCAGCTAAGGCATACATTTTTTTTTTTAAATTTTGCTGTTCTTTGTGGGTGATTTCTACTACCCTGTCTGCTAGGTTGCTGATCCTTTCTACTGTATCATCTAGTCTATTATTGATTTCCTTTAGTGATTTTTTTTTTCAGTTTAGTTATTGAATCATTCAGCTCTGTGTGTTCTGTTTGGTACTTTCTTCTATTTTCTCTTTCTTTTTTGAAGTTCTCACTTCACAATGGAATATTTTCAATAGAATATGTTCATCTATTCTCCTGAGTTTGATGAGCATGTTATGACCATTACTTAAAA